CTTATCACCACTATTGTGACTCCTATCACCACTATTGTGACTCTTATCACCACTATTGTGACTCCTATCACCACTATTGTGACTCCTATCACCACTATTGTGACTCCTATCACCACTATTGTGACTCCTATCACCACTATTGTGACTCCTATCACCACTATTGTGACTCCTATCACCACTATTGTGACTCCTGACTACACTATTGTGACTCCTACCACCACAATAGTGGTAGCAAACACCACCACCACCACTACTCCCCCACCATTAACACCCCCAACCATCCCCCCCTATTATAACCCCCACTTCCAGAACCCCCACCACCCTCCCAATCTAGCCTAAACCAGTAAGGTACATAGACATACATATACCTATGTACGTATGCATACGTATGTATGTATATACGCACACACACACATATATATATACCTCTATCCAATGTGTATGATAATTACACGTGAGTCACTATTTAGAGCCCTCGTAACGAGGCAATAGTCAAGGGCTGCCCAATTAATAGCTCGGTGGTGGGGGGGGGGGCAAACAGCACGGATTTTTCAGGTGTTTAGTGATTCCAGGCTTGTAATTGCTTTCCACACCTGTTGTGTACTTCTCTCTGAGGAGAGCAGGTGTGGTTTGAGTGCTTGTACTATGTGAGTACATGTGTGTTTGAGCACCAAGCCTCTGAGAGTACATGTGTGTTTGAGTACATTGGTGTTACTGTGCACTTTAGTACACTGGTGTTACTGTGCACTTGAGTACATTGGTGTTACTGTGCACTTGAGTACATTGTAATGAGCAACTGCACATGACCATTGAATTTGGAGTAGCTAGTACATCTCAAGCACATTGTACTGTGCATATACCATTGCTACTGTGTTCTTTACCTTACTGGGTGTTGAGTCCACTCATCAATGGAGTACTGTGAGTTGTGAGGTAAGGGGGTGTTAGGTAAGGGGGTGTTAGGTAAGGGGGGTGTTAGGTAAGGGGGTGTTAGGTAAGGGGTGTTAGGTAAGGGGGTGTTAGGTAAGGGGGTGTTAGGTAAGGGGGTGTTAGGTAAGGGGGGTGTTAGGTAAGGGGGTGTTAGGTAAGGGGGTGTTAGGTAAGGGGGTGTTAGGTAAGGGGGGTGTTAGGTAAGGGGGGTGTTAGGTAAGGGGGGTGTTAGGTAAGGGGGTGTTAGGTAAGGGGGTGTTAGGTAAGGGGGTGTTAGGTAAGGGGGGTGTTAGGTAAGGGGGTGTTAGGTAAGGGGGTGTTAGGTAAGGGGGTGTTAGGTAAAGGGGTGTTAGGTAAAGGGGGTGTTAGGTAAGGGGGTGTTAGGTAAGGGGGTGTTAGGTAAGGGGGGTGTTAGGTAAGGGGGGTGTTAGGTAAGGGGGTGTTAGGTAAGGGGGTGTTAGGTAAGGGGGTGTTAGGTAAGGGGGTGTTAGGTAAGGGGGTGTTAGGTAAGGGGGTGTTAGGTAAGGGGGTGTTAGGTAAGGGGGGTGTTAGGTAAGGGGTGTTAGGTAAGGGGGGTGTTAGGTAAGGGGGTGTTAGGTAAGGGGGTGTTAGGTAAAGGGGTGTTAGGTAAGGGGGTGTTAGGTAAGGGGGTGTTAGGTAACGGGGTGTTAGGTAAGGGGGTGTTAGGTAAGGGGGTGTTAGGTAAGGGGATGTTAGGTAAGGGGGTGTTAGGTAAGGGAGTGTTAGGTAAGGGGGGTGTTAGGTAAGGGGGTGTTAGGTAAGGGAGTGTTAGGTAAGGGGGTGTTAGGTAAGGGGGGTGTTAGGTAAGGGGGTGTTAGGTAAGGGGGGTGTTAGGTAAGGGGGTGTTAGGTAAGGGGGTGTTAGGTAAGGGGGTATTAGGTAAGGGGGGTGTTAGGCAGGGGGGGTGTTAGGTAAGGGGGGTGTTAGGTAAGGGGGTGTTAGGTAAGGGGGTGTTAGGTAAAGGGGTGTTAGGTAAGGGGGTGTTAGGTAAAGGGGTGTTAGGTAAGGGGGTGTTAGGTAAAGGGGTGTTAGGTAAGGGGGTGTTAGGTAAGGGGCGTGAGGTAATAACACTAGAAACCTATAATTACCTTAATACCTACAAGGTCATTCCATATACTCACTTTCCCCCCTCCATTACCCATTACCCCTTTCCCTAATTTCCCCTCACTCCTTCCCTCACTCCTCCCTGACAACCTAACGACCCCAATGACGTCTAATCACCGTATTTAACTGCCTGGTTTATACCATAATAGCCAGGGAGGGTTTATTACCAATAACGAATTAATTCTCACCCTTTTTTGCCAATATTGTCGTAACTACAAGGGTGACAGAGGTGACAGGGCCGCCTGCGTTAGTGGGTTAACGTCCAGGGGTGACAGAGGTGACAGGGCCTCCTGCGTTAGTGGGTTACCTCCAGGGGTGACAGAGGTGACAGGGCCTCCTGCGTTAGTGGGTTAACCTCCAGGGGTGACAGGACCTCCCTTAACCCTGATGTATTATATACAGTAGGTATTATCCAACACCACTACACCTCCTACAGCGCCACCTCACACTAAATACAGTCTCCTGGCTTGCTACTGTATTCTGAGGTTGGTGGCTTACTGATGTATTCTGAGGTTGGAGGCTTACTGATGTATTCTGAGGTCGGTGGCTTACTGATGTATTCTGAGGTTGGAGGCTTACTGATGTATTCTGAGGTTGGAGGCTTACTGATGTATTCTGAGGTCGGTGGCTTACTGATGTATTCTGAGGTTGGTGGCTTACTGATGTATTCTGAGGTTGGTGGCTTACTGATGTATTCTGAGGTCGGTGGCTTACTGATGTATTCTGAGGTTGGAGGCTTACTGATGTATTCTGAGGTTGGTGGCTTACTGATGTATTCTGAGGTCGGTGGCTTACTGATGTATTCTGAGGTTGGTGGCTTACTGATGTATTCTGAGGTCGGTGGCTTACTGATGTATTCTCACTACATATATTGACCTAAATAAGTCAATATACGTACTATACTAAGCCACAGATGTGGGTGTCTGCCCATTACAAAATTACAGCTACAGAATATGTACTTTTGGTGAGTGTAAGAGTCGCTATATATGTACCTAGTGTAGTTGGATATATACTTATATAGTCTTAGTATATGCTATATGATAGTATAGGATACGGAAGACAGCGAACCAACCGGTTGCAGGTTTCTTAGGAGTTTATAACAAAGAACATCGTCTCCTTAGCCCAAGTTGACGAGTTTTACTGTCCAAGTTTTCAGAATTATGTAATTAGCGATGTTTAATCACTTGTTTAAACGGGGGTCCAGAGTAAGGGGGTTCTCTGTAACTATGCTATCCTCTCCCAGTCTTAGTTATCCTCTCCAGTCTTAGTTATCCTCTCCAGTCTCAGTGGGCAGAGTTTCTTTTACCCTTTAACCCTGTTACCTAGCAGTAAAATAGGTACCTGGGTGTTAGTCAGCTGTCACGGGCTGCTTCCTGGGGGGTGGAGGCCTGGTCGAGGACCGGGCCGCGGGGACACTAAAAAGAAATCATCTCAAGATAACCTCAGTTATCCTCCCCAGTATAATGATATAATTACCTATAACGGCAGTACACCCTATAACAATCGGTGTACATATATGTTTGTATATATATATTTAGCAAGCCGAAGAAACCTCCATTGAGAACACTAAATTTTATTCAGAGGGGAACAGATTGGGGGGGGGAGGAGGGGATTTAAGTCTTCGTGCGGCCCCTGGCAACATTTCCCCCTTCTAATCAGCTGTTTTTTGTTGTGGTAATTCTGTCATTCCACGATGTCCGAGGGCTCCCCAAACAGCTGACTGTTCTTTTCATACAGTGCTTTGGTGCACAAATATATATATATATATATATATATATATATATATATATATATATATATATATATATATATATATATATATATATATATATAGCGTATTTGTGTGTTTAAACACAACAGCATCAACGAGACTCCTGCTCTGGGGCCCCAGACTTGCCTAGCACAATAGCTACCACTCCTTTCTCATATCGTAACGACTCTTGGAAGTGATCACGACATACAAAATTCTTAGAGGACTGAGCGAAATGTCGACCCAGAAGATGAATCCTGAGTTATTCAGTCTATGAATTACGGGATGAGACCCTTCTTCCTCCTCTCCTTGTACGCCATGCCCTTCACATCAGGAACAAGCCTGGGTGCATATTTGTACATCTTCTGTGTTTCATGGTGGCGCTGCATACTCAAGGTTACGTCTAACGTAGGTAATACATATTCCAGAATGAGGCAAATGTGATTCATCTCTAGAAATGTAATAATACATATAAGATCGTTATTCAGCTTGAATAACTTTATTGCCATAAGACATAGGGTTATAAATAGGATTTAGGATTTAAAAATCCTTTAAATTCTTCCCCTATTCTTATGTTTTTTTTTCTATTACAATCAATTACAATCAGAGCCAACACAATCCCCTTTACCACCATGCCACACTCTTAATCACCACCGTGACAATTACAACGACCCTGACAATCACTATCGCCGTAACAATCACCTTACAATCAGCCATTATAGTGTTAAGTGTTAGCAGTAAGACTTGGACTCGATCAATATGGTATGGGGATTCAGTCTCTCTCTCTCTCTCTCTCTCTCTCTCTCTCTCTCTCTCTCTCTCTCTCTCTCTCTCTCTCTCTCTCTCTCTCTCTCTCTCTCTCTCTCTCTCTCTCTCTCTCTCTCTCTCTCTCTCTCCCTCTCTGTCTCTCTGTCTCTCTCTCTCTCTCTCTCTCTTTCTCTCTCTCTCTCTCTCTCTCTCTCTCTCTCTTTCTCTCTCTCTCCCCCTCTCTTAACTCCCCATTTCCCTATCTCTCCCTATGTTTCCCTCAAATAAGCACATTAGGGTAAGGCTGCCGGGAGAGCGCGTAGAAGTCCAAGGCAAAACTGGATTTGTAGAATTCAACTGATAACAGGGCGTTCTAGCAAGACTTTATTTTTGGCTTCCAGGCCTCTCATTGGCTACATTTTTGGCTTTGTGGCCTCTCATTGGCTGCATTTTTGGCTTCCAGGCCTCTCATTGGCTGCATTTTTGGCTTCGTGGCCTCTCATTGGCTACATTTTTGGCTTCGTGGCCTCTCATTGGCTGCAATTTTTGGCTTCCAGGCCTCTCATTGGCTACATTTTTGGCTTCGTGGCCTCTCATTGGCTGCATTTTTGGCTTCCAGGCCTCTCATTGGCTGCATTTTTTGCTTCGTGGCCTCTCATTGGCTACATTTTTGGCTTCGTGGCCTCTCATTGGCTATATTTGTGTCTCGTATTAGCCCCCCATTGGCTATACGTTGGCTTCAGTTTGGCTTCAGTGTGGCCTCGAGGCTTCACTTAGGCATCTTTGTGGCCTTGATTTCTCTCGCCAGCTTCACTTTGACTTCGTTCTGAATATGTAAGCGAGTATTAGGCTTTAACATGTGTCCTATCCTTGGCTTCACTTGACTTTGTTGGGTCCCATAGGGTTTAAATGAATTCAAATGAGTTACATTTGACTTCATTTCTTTTCTATTGGCTTCGTTTGACTTCTTATTTCTCTCTGTTTAAGTATATTCAGTTTTTCTAAACCTAATTTTGACTTCTCATTTGAGTAGATTCTTGTTCAGAATATTTAACTTTATTTCAATTGTCTTTACATAACTTTACTTACACCAAAATCATTCTTATGGCACGATTTTATCTTATCATTCTTATTGCACGACGTTTTCTAGCACCTGATGCCTCTTTTCACCTAAGAGCTTATACTAAGTACCCCTCGTACTAGGCGACTGTTGTGGGCTGCAGACCAACTGCCAACAACAACAGACCAAGCACTTGCAACAATGCAGAATTCCTGAATATAGTGCAGTCTTGTGTGTGTGTGTGTGAGAGAGAGAGAGAGAGAAGCTGTCACTCCCAGGTGAAGGAGGGGGGGGGGGGGGGAGGGGGATGGAGGGGTTATGGGGGGAGGGGGAGGGGGAGGTGGAGGGGGTTATAAAGACACCAGTTACAACACTGAGGCAACGACTGTTAAGTCAGGTGTGTCCACACCTGACACACTCACACACCTGATATTTCAAGGCTTCACGTGATGCCGGGAGCATTTTTATGATATATCAAGACATCTATGAACATTTCATGACATAGAACATCTTAGAAAATGTAGAACATTTCAAAAACCTCTTAGAACATTTCAGGGGTGTCTTAGAACATTTCAGGGGTGCCTTAGAACATTTCAGGGGCGTCTTAGAACATTTCAGGGGTGTCTTAGAACATTTCAGGGGCGTCTTAGAACATTTCAGGGGCGCCTTAGAACATTTCAGGGGTGTCTTAGAACATTTCAGGGGTGTCTTAGAACATTTCAGGGGTGCCTTAGAACATTTCAGGGGCGTCTTAGAACATTTCAGGGGCGTCTTAGAACATTTCAGGGGTGTCTTAGAACATTTCAGGGGTGTCTTAGAACATTTCAGGGGTGCCTTAGAACATTTCAGGGGTGTCTTAGAACATTTCAGGGGTGTCTTAGAACATTTCAGGGGTGTCTTAGAACATTTCAGGGGTGTCTTAGAACATTTCAGGGGTGTCTTAGAACATTTCAGGGGTGTCTTAGAACATTTCAGGGGTGCCTTAGAACATTTCAGGGGCGTCTTAGAACATTTCAGGGGTGCCTTAGAACATTTCAGGGGTGTCTTAGAACATTTCAGGGGTGTCTTAGAACATTTCAGGGGTGTCTTAGAACATTTCAGGGGTGTCTTAGAACATTTCAGGGGTGTCTTAGAACATTTCAGGGGTGTCTTAGAACATTTCAGGGGTGCCTTAGAACATTTCAGGGGCCGTCTTAGAACATTTCAGGGGTGCCTTAGAACATTTCAGGGGCGTCCTTAGAACATTTCAGGGGCGTCTTAGAACATTTCAGGGGTCTTAGAACATTTCAGGGGTGTCTTAGAACATTTCAGGGGTGCCTTAGAACATTTCAGGGGTGTCTTAGAACATTTCAGGGGTGTCTTAGAACATTTCAGGGGTGTCTTAGAACATTTCAAGAGACTTTGATAACAATACAGGAATCTTAATTGAGATATCAGTAGGTTCGTGAATATTTTAGAGTGTTTACAAACATTTCCAAGATGTTTTTTAGATTTTTGAGAACGACTGAGGACATTTCAGGACACTTAGAAATGTTTCAGGAAGCTTGAAGCTCCTTCTGAACACTTCAAAGACATTTTAGGTATTTTGGTGTTTATACAAATGAGCTGAAGGAATGTAAGGAAGTACTGGTACCATGTACTGGGAGATTAACAAGTGGAATGACCTGAAAGCTGAAGTTTGGGAAGCCACCTCTATCCACAACTTTCAGACCAGACTCGATAAAGCATATGAACGTCAGAATAGATCAAATGCAGCGTCATAGGTTCAAGAAAGCCACTAGGCTGGACATGCAGAGCTAGAGCTCAATCCCCCGTAGTGACTGTTAGGTAAGTACTAGGTACAAGACCTAGAATAGGTAAGACTTACCCCCTTACCCCCCCTCTCTCTTAACACCTGCATTGCTTGCTCCTTATTTTTAGGGGCAGGCGTGGGGCATCAGTCATCTACCCAGACACTCATCAGCTGAGGAACTGTATAATGGGTATATATAGAATGGAGGGAGTGTGTGTGTGGGCTGCCAGAGGGGGAGGGGGGGGAGGGTGAATGGGAGGCAAGGCAGGCATTAGTAGCGTTTGGGCACGTGCACGCGTGTGCACACACACACACACGAATCTGTACATCAGTTGACTGACGGTTGAAAGGCGGTACCAAAGAGCCAAAGCTCAACCCCCACAAGCACAACTAGGTGAGTACACACACCCACACACCAGTTACAGTCACCGTCAGAGTGGTAGACGGTTGGAACAAGTTAGGGGAGAAGGTGGTGGAGGCCAAGACCGTCAGTAGTTTCAAAGCGTTATATGACAAAGAGTGCTGGGAAGACGGGACACCACGAGCGTAGCTCTCATCCTGTAACTACACTTAGGTAATTACACACACACACACACACACACACACACACACACACACACACACACACACACACACACACACACACACACACACACACACACACCAAACAACAATAATAACACTAAAAACAATAACCCAAGCAATTACAAACTATCACAACAGCAAATTCAATAAACAGAACATCACCTTCAAATACAATAAAAGCAAAACTCTGTCAACGTTCGACATAAAAAGCAACATTCATCCCTGAACGTGAGAGAGGTGGGACGGGGGGTGGATGCCTTATGGCTAGAGATGACTAGAGATGACACAGATGAAGATGCTGCACCTGATCTGATGCATCCCACCATATATAACTTGATTTGCACCTGTTGAAACCTTTTTGGCCACGTTTTGGTATTCAGG